TTTTAGAATCTGAGTCTACTGCCACAGGCGACTCCGTTCGTATGCCCTCAGCTTTTCTTCGACCCAACAGGAGGATGGGTTAGTTTTGAACTTTTTTATAACTAGAATTTTGTTTTTTCGATTGTTTTTTCAATCAATCAATTGATGAATGAATGAAAAAATAAATATTTTAATAATTTATTCCTGCAGTACGTGCCGGTTCAATTCCCAACTATGGTCATCCCGCAACAGCCTCCTCCTGCCCTACCACAACAACAACCTACTCAGCAGCAGCAACAACAACAACCGCAACAGCTGCAACAACCGCCGCAACAAATAGTACAACACCAAGCGATTGCCACGTCGACGACAGCCACTACTTTTTCGCCAGCTGCTGCTAACAGGGGCAACAACAACAGCAGCTACGTGCAGCACCAACATCAACAACAGCAGCAACAACAGATGCTGCACCAACATATGATGCATATGTTAACAGCCATCATCAACAACAACAGCAGTAACATAGGTTTGAAACAGCCACAACCTATTCAACAGCAGCAACAACAACACAAAAATCAATACATTCATCTGCTTTTACAGCAGCAACAGCAGCTGCAACAACAACAACATCAGCTACAACAACCGGAACAAACAACCACAACAGCTGCAGCTACCCAATCCAGCAGCGTTAATCCTCTCAGCAGCGACAACAACATCAGCAGTGTTAGTAGTAGCAGTAACACCACGGACGTCAAAGTTAATCACGCTATTACCAAATGGCAGCATCAGCAGCAGCCTGTGCAGGAGCAGCAACAGCCACAATACCATCAACCACAAGAAATCACATTTCACCAGCAGCAGCAGCAGCAACAACCACAGCAGCCACAGCTATCACACCACCACCATCATCAGCAACAGCAGTCACAACCAGGATCATTGGGGCCTTCAGGTCAACACAACATCTCGACATCAACGTTCATGACGTCATCCTCCATGAAGACGACAGCAGCACAACAGTCCGGAAACAAACTAGCAACTCCTCCGAACAAGCAGCAGCAGCATGCGTCAACCACAACAGCCGCCATCACAGAGTTGAGTCCTGGAAATCACTCGGAGAGAGCCAAGAAGAGTTATGCAGAAATCCTCAAAAGAAAGAAATCAACATTTATGATCCCACCAGCCTCTGTCTTAACATCTGACCAGTCCATCCTTGCTATTGACAATAAAAAAACCTCAATGACGTCACCGACTTCAACAGGAAGCGGCAACCAGCAAGCCATTGCAGCTGTTCTCAGCCTAAAAAGCAACGACTCGTCCAGTTGCGAGGACATCACTAAGACAGCTGAACCAGAAACGAAAGAAGACGAGGCAACGCTGTCACATCATCAGCAAGCAGCAACAGCAGCAGCTGGTCCAGCTACTACAACGGCTGCTCCTTCTACAAATACCTCTTCAGCAACTGCTTCCGCTACAGGCAACTGCATGTCGACATCCTCGTCGTCGTCATCCTCTGGCCCTATGACGCACAGAAACCGACAACAGCATCAGCAACAGCATCAGTCGTTCTCTCGGAAAGGTGGCGGGGGAGGCCACGCCAGCAAGAAAAAAAGCGGTGGAAGCGGCGGCGGTGGTAGAAATAGTAGCCGCTACTACTACAACAGCAGCAACTCCAACAAACAGTCCTTTCGAACTTGAAATGAGATGATAGCATTTTATAGATGATACGGTGCTAATGCTGATTAAACTTCTGATATGTTTATAGACAATGGATAATAAAAATCTTATAATTATTTTATTATTTTAATAATAATAATATTATAATTATTTATTAAATTATTATTATTATTACATGTAAATAGGATCGCTTTGTTGTATAATAAAAAAAATTTTTAATGGAGTTCATAGATGAGAAACTGGAGGCTTTAGTAGCATTAGAAGCCCGTTTATTATTATTATAAATATAAATAAAATAATAAAAATAATAATAATAAAATGATAAAAAAAAAGTTTATAATAAAAAAAATTTTCAATGGAGTTGATAGATGATAAACTGGAGGCTTTAGAAGCCCATTAATTATTATTATTGTTATTATTATTTATAATTTTATATTATTATTTATATTTATTTTACATATATATATATATATAATTATATTATGATTATTGTTATAGTGCATTTTTTTCTGAACTGTTGCCTTGAATGTATATAACTTTAATTTGCCATCATTGTGGACGCTGATTTTTTCATTTATTTATTATTATTATGATTAATACTATTAAATTATTATTATAATTATTGTTGTTATTATTATTCCTTTATTTTTGATTTATATTATATTTTTAATTTATATTATATTTTTTGCTGGCTGAATGGTCAATATTATTTTTATATTATTACAGTGTGTGTGTGTGTGTGTGTGGGTACGTGTGTTGGTGTGTGTGTCTGTGTGAATTATAGAGTCTTCAAGCATTGTGGAGTTAGTTTAGACAAATAGATAAATAACTAATATAAATAATAATAATTAATAATTTTCT